ATGCAGGATACAGGCTGCGTAGCGTTTTAAAAAAGTGCTTGAAGGTGCTTATTTTGGATTTTCGTTTTTTAAAAGCCCTTAAAGGTACTTTTTTCCTTGGGTGTTTTTAAAAAGTGCTTAATTTTCCCTTTCCCAAAATTAGATTTTTCCTTTACCATGTTAATTTTCTCTTCGAATTATGCAGAAAGACAGTTCACATTGTTCTATTCAACATTTTCACAATTAATTCAACCCCAATCTTTTTCCGTGTATCTATCGTCAGTCCGTAGCGAACGCCATTCGTTTTACATGATTCAAAAATTTTGACATGGTAGTTAAAACGGGATAAAACCGTCAATTGTCGAAAACTTTCCAATCCTACCTAATTGTCATTTTTTTACAGTGCTTAAAAATATTATTTGAGTGCTTGAAAAGTGCCTAAATGGTGCTTATTTTTTGTTGAATAATTCTGCCACGCACCCTGCAGAAGCTTTTCATTTTAATAACCGATAACAATCGCTAATCTATATCAATGCGCTAATTTTAAAATTGGAATTTATTAACGATACTATAAATTAGGGAGTAATATCGATATGCTTCGATAGTATTAGTTGTATATCAATGTCTTTCTTACGTTACTTTTCAACTCTCTTCCAATAGTATGTCACTATTTACAAATTTGCAAGAAAAATTTGGAAATACCTTCAATGAAGTAATGAAAATGTTGAAAACGTTGGATTGTTTACGACAACGGTTCCCCCGATGATGTTCCTCGGAACCCTAAGGTTTCTTGGAACGGTCACAGGGGTACCAAGACTTGTGTCTTTTTTTATCAGTTGTAATTTTTGAAATCTGTAACTAAATTTATATCTCATTAATTACCCATTGTTTATTTCATTTTTTCAAGATTTTTATTAAATTGTTTAATTAAAATGCTTGTAAGGAAGTAAAAACAAAATTTAAAAAAATTCTAATAATATATTGAATGAATAATGAAAACGGAAATTCCATTAGTATCTTGTTTAGAATAAAAATAACCAAATTCAGCAATCAAGAAATATGTCTAATAAGAATTCTCAGTGTTTATTTCTGTCTTTTTTCGTTTTTATTTCAATGCAAACCAAGTTATAGATCTTGTATGTCCATTTTGTACTTATACTGATATCAAATTCGAAGACTATATGCTCCAGACTTGCTAATCTAGCTGTCTGATATGATAAAACGATATGACGAAGGAATTTCGTATTTTTTCATTCATTAAATATTTTTATTTATTTATTATGAGTCGAGGTTCAGCCAAAAATTGATCGATCATTTAGGGCTCCATAGCCCACCCCCACCCAAAAAAAATTTAAATTGAAACCATTGGTTTAAAATAAAATAAAATTATTCTTATAATCTGTATTTCCCAGCATTTTTTCTGCCCTATAAGAAAAAAGAGCCTTTGTTTAAAATTTATCGAACTTAGAAATTCCATTTAGTTGGGATAAAACATTCCAAATCACTTAAAAAGAGAGTTTTGTATGTGCCAACGCATCTCATGCATTCTACATTCCTTGCACTTGTTGACATCTGAAGTTAAGAGGGAAGTTTTATGGCTCTCGGGAAAAAAAGATAAGAAACGAAGAATACAACATCCTTGTTTTTTTTTCTTGTGCATGACATATTCAATGGTTCCTTGTCTGATGATGAAGTGCTGATCATTGAATTCCCTTCCAGACTCTAACCAATTAGAAAAGTGTGACGTTAAAAATAAACAATTGCGACTAGTTTTCTTTATTTGGTTCAATCGTTACAGTGTCAAAGAGTTTTTTTTTAAGTCGGCCCATAGTGAAAGAAAAACGATTATTTAATTTTTACATATTCTAACAGTTTACAGTAGTGATCTCTAATCTCCGGGTTGCCCAAGAAAAATTAAGTTATTTATATTTTTTTTTACCGTGTATTTCTCTCGGGGCTTGTACGACTTTCCATGGACGAGAAGTTAAATCAGGAGCTGAGAAGCGTCACCTAAAACAGCACCAATACCGCTCCTGTAATTGTATTTTTTTTCATGTTTAAGAACAATTATATTAAAATTATTAAATCAAAACATTTTAAAATATAAACAATTAACGTTTCTCCCCAGCGGGCTGCGGTAAAACGTTGACCGGTTGATTCCAATAAAAAAGTTAGGAAGCACTTGTATACAGTTTCTAGAAACACGAATTGGATAGAAGTACAAGTACCTAAATAAAGTATTTGAATAGTAAATAAATTGGCATATTCAGAAAAAAAAACTCATGTCACAAAAGAATTACTTACTTGCAATTTAAAGACATTTCTAAGAAGAAAAAAAGCGAAAGAATTCGGGTAATATGCATCAAAATTACGGCAAAAGGGGCAAACGTAGTAGTAGATATCATGATTCGCAGTTATCCTTTTTTTTACTTTTATTTCTCATGGCAAGTTTAACAGACAACTGTAGTAATAAATATAAAGAATTATATATGGAACAAACATAGAGGGAAAAAAATAAGAGTACTAGAAAAGCAGTTGTAGCCAAAGTGTATGAATAGTCTTAATTTTTCTGATAAAAAGTATTTTATTCTGATTTTTGTGTATTCAAACTATCAAATTTTCTGTGAATACAAATGAGAAGTTTAAAATAATCGAACTTGGTCCAGTCTTTTTTATACATTTAATAATGCTAGTAAAAACCCATAATTAAAACCTGAGCACCGTCTACTAATTATAAAAATGGTTCAAGAATATAGCCCGCAGAATTTATTGTTTCAAACTTTTTGGAAATTGTGTTGTTCATTTAAAAAGAAACCCAATTAATAATTTTACATCATCAAATTTTCATGGAGATGAAATAAAGGGTCGTACACTTATGTATATAATTTTCAGCAAATGTAGTAGCAAATCTTGTATGATGGAGTTATGTTGTTTCACAGTTCATGATTCGTCTCATCTGTTTTGAAAACGGTCGAATGCCAGTCATAATCAAGTCAAAAATGTAAATGGATAATTAAAAGATCTTCTACTAAATTATTTTTGTACAAAAATGTTAAGCCGAATAAAAATTATTTGATTTTAGGAATTCTTGAACTCGTTTACAAATTTTCACTGAATATTGGTATAAAGGAATATTAATCATTTGATACTTGTTATTTTTTAATGCAACCGCGCTATAAAAATTTCTAAATATTTATCTCAAACTGTTATGAATTTTCCAGTGCCCTATTAATAAGTCTTACTGATAGCAGTTAAAAACTGTTTTAAGGAAAGTAATAATGAAATTAAATATAATACATATTATTATTCTTTTGCGATAAAATTTGCTTTTATTATATTATACCTAGGTAGAGCAAATTATACTTTTTTAGTTATTGTTCGCCATTTTTTAAAGTAGTCTGATTCTTTCTTTGGCTCATTATGAGACCTGAAATAGTAAATTAATCAAATTAACTGTGCAGTGAAGTTTTTAAATTTACCAAATTTAGTATCAAACCACAAGATGAAAGAACTAATTTTCTTGTAATTTTACCATAAAGTATTACCAAAGAGCTGTGATAAAAAAAAATTACGCACTTCTTGTCTTCCCTTTTAGTCAGATAATGCAGCAAATTTTACCATATTACGGTAGTTTTGACTATTCATTTTCTTAAGGTAGTTTATCTTTCTAAAATATCAGGTCAAAATCTTCCATATTACGATTTCAGAATTTTTTTTATGTCGAACGGCGTGATTGTTCTAACAAATTTAAAAAAAGGGGAGTTGTTTGGGAAGGGATTTTTGTGAAGCATTATTAAATTTTTGAAATAGGCCTAAAGGTAAGATAATCCCACCCACCTTAGCTTGCCAAACGTTGTGGTTACGTCACGGCTATTAGAGTTGATTTGCTTTTCGTAAACGACCTTCAACTGTCTATTCATTATCTGACACAGCAGCCATAACATGACTATCAAAATGAAAATCAAACGGATGTTTTTTCTTGTTTAAATTATCGTCTTAGAATATTTTATATTATTCCATAAGACATTGTTTGGTTTTTACCCTTTTCCTTCGTTTTTTCTTTTCAAAAAATCGTTCAGGGTAGAGGTGAGCTCTTTTGAGATATATATTTATTTATTTCTAAATGCAGAGCTGCTAACTTTTTTACTCTTATCAGGAGAATTTTTTCGTGTGATAGCAAAATTATTGACTTAGTATTTAATTCTTTATTCAACAAATTCGATTTAAAATGATTTTGACCTCTACGCTTTATAGATAATTTAAATTTATTTATAAAAGCTAGTAACTTGTAATGTTTTGAGTTGTGGCGAAATTTATAATAAATCAGCTAATTTTTAACATTAACATTAGCTAACATTTAATTTCATTATTTAATCTCATTATTAATTTAAATTCATTCTTAATATTAAAAAAATTTGCCTTGCCTTCTTAATTGCATTGCTTGTAAATACCTCATTTCACTTTGGGAAATTTTAAGAGAAAAAAAGCTCTGTACCTTTTGATAAGGTATTAAAGGAAACATTTTAAATAACATAGATGTAGAAGTTATTAATATTTTAAGGAAAACAATATTTATACTCGTTTGAGCTATACTTTTAAAAGAGATGATGTCACACATTTTATTTAAAGCGATAGGCTAGTATAAAATTTAGTTTTGTATTTATTTCTTGAGAATTTGAATTACTTCGTAAATTTTCAAATTTGGTTTTATTACATATTTTTTGGAGCAGCATAGTCGCATCCCTATGTTAGCTTTTTAACTCTATATTTAATTTAATATTAAAATTCCAAAAATATTTGGATAAGTAGAACTTTTTTTCTTAAAATTTAAAAGGATTTAAATTCTTGATTTTCTTAATATTGTGTAAAATAAGCTTTAATTTTTAAAGTTGGATTGGTTCAGAACGTGGATCACTGGTTATAAACTTATAATGGGTTTTATTTAAGAATTTTATAAATATATTTGTCCCAATATTCTAAAACTATTTCACTAACTAATAATAATTTCCTTTTTTTTACAGGTTGAAAAAATAACACAGGTGCTATTTCAATATTATTGTTTATCTTCAGCAATGCTACAAAAGTCATTCAGCGAGGGCATATTTTTAGAGAGAGGAGTACCTCAATCTTCCACCAGTTACAAAAGTACCTGCCATTTAAACAATGAAAGATCATACTGCACGGCAGTATACTTCGTGCCAAAGCTAATTCCAAAAAGATCGTATTTAACACTCAATGGTGCACCAAAAGATATAGACTCATTTGCAGCAAAGGCCACGGCCACTTACAACAGGGCTTGTTCGTTATCCAACGGCAGCATCAAATCTTACGAGAGCTCTGTATCGATGGAACAAGAAGAATTCGAGCAAACTAAAAGCAAAGATGTCCTAGATGGTCTAGAATGCCAGCATAATGTCGAACTGGTACCCGGCTTAGTAATGAAAGATTTTTCTGAAACTGTTAATGTTTTCTCGAAAACCAGCGATAAGTCATACAGATCGAGTTATGCCTATGATGAGAGTTATGTGAAGAGGAATTACATCGTTGGCTTAGAAGTCCAGAAAGTTCGCGAATTCACTTTTACTGGAACTGATGAAAACTCTACGTTTACCTCTTCAATGAGTATAACACCGGAAAAACTTACCAATGAAGACGTAAAACTGAATGGCGAATGTGATGATCTATTGTAGTAATTATTACGACCTTTATATTTAGATGCCTCCAAAGAATCTACTACGCTTTATATATTTTTTTAAATTTTATGTGTATAATAAATATTGATATAAATTTTTCTATAATTGTGTTTAGGTAGAAACATATATCGTGCACTTAATATCCTATTTTGTGTATATGAAATGCACTATTCTAATCGAATAACAATTTGTATAATAATGTTCTGGTGTTATATGCATCTTCAATGCGCATAGCACCGGAACATTATATTATATGCGCATAGCCCCGGAAAAACTTACCAATGAAGACGTAACAAAGCATCATCACAAAGCTAACTAGCGATTGTGAAGATTTATTTTAATAATTGCAAATGACCTTTATATTTATGAGCTTTCCGAAGAATCTATTACTACGCTTTATATATTTAGTTTTTAAATTTTATGTATAATAAATATTGATATAAACTTTTCTGTAATTGTCTTTAAGTGGAAATATACATCGCGCTCTTCATTTATTATTTTGTGTTTATGAAATGCATTTTTCTAATTGAAATTTTTTTTCTGTTTTGAACGTATTGTACGTACGTAAGATATTATATTCTTTAAGATTCTAATTCACTATAGTTTTCAGAAGATCAACACTTTCTAGTTGAACCTCCATCTCTATAATAATATCCAAAGAATATTTGCCTATTTTGCAATGTTTGTGGATATCTAAAAATACAGATTTTAATAAATATGAAAATTACATCTGTCTGTCATCGATTAGGTCTATATTCTATTTTAGTCACCAAACCGTGTGCTGCATTCAATATAAACATTTCAAGACCTAAGATTTTCTATCCATCCAAGTAATCACTTGGATTTAACTTGCTATTTTTTAAACATATACATCTCGGAAGAAAAGTTTTTTGTAACATTTTAGAATTACATGTTTGTAGAAAATATTTATTTAATAAATTTTAAGTTCTGCTTTTCAAAAAAAAATTTATATGTTTAATTGTATCTATTATATATACTGAGAATAAAAGTAAAATAAAAAACTACAAGAATATGGTAAAATTAACACTGTTTCTGGCTGTATGGGAATACCAAAAAGTTCGGTAATTTTTACCGAAGCACTTTAGTAATGCTTTTAGTAAAATTAATAATAAAATATTGTTTTATAATATGTGTTAAAATTTGGTAAATGATGTAAAATTTAATATTTTTATCGTGATTCCTTAGAGTATGCTATAAAACCGCATATTTGATTAAATTTACTTTTCTGTTTTGTATTTTGACTATATGTATGGTAATAGGAACTATAATTATGAAAACCTGAATTTCTGGTAAACAGTTACCATAAGAAGGGAAAAATGACCAGATAAATGGTTAAAATACCGTATATTTTGGTTTTATTAAACGGATTTTTTTTTATTTACCAGATATGTCATTAGGTACGTAAACATTAGGGTAATGTAAACTGAACTTGTATTATACTAAGAAACTTATTTACTTAAGCTCATACTAATATTTTATTGCACACACTTATACTCTTCTATTAATTGATAAGAAGTTTCATATTTTCTATTAATTTAGAAGAAGTTGATTCTGGAGCATAATGATCGTCAACTTGAATTATCAGGAAACTTCTGTGGCAAAACATCACAAATTTGCGCTTTTGCTGATGATTTGGTTATTCTAAGTAGAAGATCAGCATTGACCACCATCACTAGATGCTTGAATAGAACAGCAGAAGGAGTGGTACTTAAAATGAATGCTGGTAAAACAAAGTACATGGAAAAAAGAAAAACTGCAAAGGACTAGATGTCAAAACTTACTGTAGATCATTTTGATTTTGAAAGTGCACAGTTTCACCTACCTTGGCTCCATCATCGCCGATTCAGAAAGCAACTCAGAAGAAATATATACAAAAATTCTTGAAGGAAACCGATCATACTTTTTTTTTATACACTTACCTTTTGTAAATAAATACAGTAGAGTTTTCGCTCTAACCGAGCTATCAAATATTTTAAGGATTTTTTTGTTCTAGATTATTTTTCATTTTTAAAAATACTGCCGAAAAATAAATCTGAATTTCATCTTCCAAACACTCGGGAAAACAAAATCTAACAACTCTATCCCATGAAATGATCGTTAATATCGTCAATAATGAAAATGAACCTAGCGAAGATGATGAAGACAGTGACGATGAAAATCAACATATAAAAATCTCTCACACAGATGAACTTAAAGCTGTCGAAAATGCTACTGAATACATAGAACAACAAAAAGAGGCGACACCAGCCTTCCTGTTATCCCTAAAAAATGGCGAAACATTGCTGCAGAAAAGCACCTAAGTTATGTAATACAAAAAAACGATTAAGGACTTTTTTTAAGTAAAAACTCTTTAATTCTCGCAAAGTATACTTTTTAAGTTTTTTCAAGTAAGTTTTTTAATAATAATAGGAATTGTATGTGGTATACTCGTGTAAATTGTATATTTCTTATATATATTACATTTATACCAACTCTTTTTCTTTCTTTTTTTATACTCTTCGTTTTAACCGAGTTAGTCGTGGTCCACCTTAACTCGGATAATCGGGACTCTACTGTATCTTACAAAATCTTCAAAAATGCGACTTCATGAAACTATTATTTGACCAATTATGACATGTCCATTCCTGCGAACTTTTAATCCTTTCGAGGATGACTTTCCCCAGTGGTAGAATTCAATTACATTAGTTTCAATTACAATTTTTGACAGAAACATACGCTGTATTTTGAAAAAGCTTATGTGGGCTACCACAACACTATTAGATATTAATATATATGATTAATTTTTTTAAAAAGTAGTGGTGGTCACAAAGGTAATAAATTAAGTTTATAAGTGTAAAGAATATATAGAAAGCATACATTTTACTGCCATTTTAAATATAGAAATAAAATTTAACGCCAAATGCGATAAAAGTTAGCAGGCATGCATATGGAAGTGAAACCTGGATATGACCAAAAAAGATGAAAATGACTTGCTGTTTGAACGAAAGGTCCTGAAGAAATTAAAAGGATCTATTAATGATTGAGGCAAATGGAGAATTAAGGCAAACCGAGAAAATCATAAAAGGAAAAAATATTTGCTTTATCAAATCCCAGCGGCTCTTATGGTTTGGATACATAGAGAAGAGAGACAATAATTACGGCTAAAAAAAAAGACCATCAACTGGACCCCTATAGGAACCGGACCCAGAAGCCGTCGTTATTGACGACTTGGAAATAATGAAGATCCGTAGGTGGATGAAAAAGTCAAAACAGAGGGCTGTATAAAATAGAATTGTGAAACAAGCCAGGGCACATAAAGGGTTGTAGAGCTGTAGAAGAAGAAGAGTGAAACTTCAATGATGAAAAACTGTTACTCGTATATCTAAAGTGCTAATTTGAAAAATTATTGTTTAGAAATGAGCCATGTTAGGAAGATTTTACCTTTAACTCAGAAAAAGCCACCGGTGTTTAATGCTGTTTTTCATAAACATAAATTATTAAATTGCTAAATATAATATTTTCCACTTATTTCGATCTAAATTAGTACATAAGTATGAAAAATGTGTTTAATAAAAATTCTACGTCAAAAGGGTTAAACTGCTAAGAAGCAAGTATTTCAGACAACGCCATAGCTTTATTTATTTCATCATACAAATCAGTTACATAACATAACAAAACAAGTAATGTACTTCGCCACTTAACATGTTTTTATTTCTAATAAATAACTAGAAGAGCACATTTTTTTAACAATTAAACAACAATTTTATAAACCAAAACAATTAACACATACATCAAAATCGGTTGTTAGTCTACATCTATTTCAGAAACGGATTGTGTTTTATACATCAATAAAGTATTTATTTAAATATCTGAGTGCTTGAATAACACAAAGCAACTCTCGGTTTGCATTTCAGCATGAAACGCATATATTACAACGATTATAAAACCTATTCTATTTATAACGATTCAAATAATATATAAATTACATTGCAGATGCTTTTAAAAAATGCATTATTAAAGCACATATTACCAGCATCTATTTCTTTTTTTAAATATATAATACATTAAAAGGCCGCATTTATATGATGCAAAATAATTTACATGCATTTCTAACTTCTCAACACGGTTTTGCCATTTGTTTTTCTTTGGTTATTAAGAAATATGCATCACTCGCTTCACAAGTACCAGCTTTTTATACTTAATTTCATTTTCTTCACTATAGTAGCAGACGTATAGTAACTTCATTTTCTTCACTATAGTAACAGACGGCTTTATGGGGTAGCTTCTTACAATCTCAATTCAAAATAAATTTATGATCTCAATTTAGGTTAAAGTTCATTATTTAAACAATTTGTATGAAAATAACTTACCGTATAATGAAATAAAAATAATGTTTGTGTTCTATGCTATGGATCGTAACTTCCCATATTTGTAAAAAGTATTTTATTTTATAGAGACAGAATTATATAGGCGTCGAGAACAGCCTATATAATTCTGAGTTTAAGACTATCAATGTTCAACTCCGTAGCCTTGTAATCTTGAACCCAGCCCAGAACACAAGAAAACTCCTTTATCAAGCCTTGGGCAAACTAGCTTCCATTTAAAGACTTTTTGATGCAACTAACTCGCATTTGTTTTGCATGAAGAGGAAAACCTCCCATGGTTAGCCCGATGTCAAAGGGTTTAGTGGAAAAAGGAACAATCTGGATTATTTTTCATAAAACCTTTAGGAATTAAAAAGAAAAATTTTTTCGCAACAGCTTATTGTAGGCAAAGGATGTCATAAAGGTTAAGTTTCCAAAATTTAGTGACACATGGTATGTCGGGCTGTGTGGTCAGTATTGTACACCTATTGCCTTTACTTTCCAGACAGAATTTTACCAATCGATCTAAAGCAGGCCGGATTTCAAGGAACCACCCCTCTGGGAATTGAACTCCAGTCTATCAAAATGACAATTCAGTGCCTGAACAACTGTAAAACTAGATTTCCTATATACGTTTAATAATTTTTTTGTAATAATTTTAAAATTTCGTTTATGAATCACTACTCCACTATATTTCGGAGTTACAAAATACACTTAAGAATTATTATACATTTCCATTATATATTTTTATTCCACTACTTATTTCTGCAGGATATTTAAGCTATTTTCATATTGCATATGTATGATAAAATAATTTGTGACAAATAAAAAAAAATCAGAAAGAAATACTTATTCTATTTTTCTATTCCATGAAAATTTTCCAGGAAATACTTATTTACAGTTAAACGCAAACACTTACAATGCTTCAACAGAATTAAAATATTACATGTTTTCATTATAAAACAATATACATCTACGCAATTATTTTTTTTTTGCAAAAATTAATTATGCTGAAATATAATGTATTTAAAACCAAACAATCTGTGAAAATTATTTTTGCTGTCTATTGAAAAAATTTTTCTCTCTATCTCAAAATCGATTTAAAAGTATTTATTTTAAATATTTCGCAAGAAATTAATAATATTTCTTTCAATATTTTAGAGGACTTATTATTGAAAATTGAAAAAAAAAAATGATTTACTCTTTGTTAAACTCTAATACTTCTTTTCATAGCAATAATTCCTTTCATAAAATCGCGTATGATAAATAAGTATTATAATGAAACTAAAACTGGCAAAAAAAATTTTTTAGGACATTAATAATTGGTTTTTATTAACTTCTTTTTGGTTTTTTTTTATATGTCGGATGCCTAAAAAAAAGCTTTTTCCACTTATTTAAACCGTTTCCACCAAAAACATTCAGTTGATCATTTCTAAATATACAACTCGATTAATAACACGAGAAAAACACTATGAAAAATTGTATTGTTGACAATTCCAAAAAAACTTATTGCACCCATTATGAGTCAATATTTCTCAAATCGAGCATTTGTTGAAAACCAAAAAATATTTTTGACAAATTATGGAAAACTTTTTATGTAAGATTCGCTTACACAAAAGGAAATTTATTAACTAGTTTGAATGATTAAATGCTTTCTTTTACATAATATTAAAAATATTCCTACGTTAATTATAGTGTGCATAAAGTTTTATCGATTCTTTAGTTTAAATGGGTTGGCGAACAATTTGTTTGCTACAAAAATAATGAATGTTAAACATGTAAACAATATAATAAATAATTTAATTAGAAAAAAGTAATTAACATAAAAAATTATAACATTATACCTATTTGTTTTCTCATATTAAATAGTATGCATGCATTCATAAGCTTAGTTTGCATAAGCTTTTGTTAAAGTATTAAATTTTAAAAAAATGAATGTCAAGATTATTTAATTGATAAAATACTGATGCTAAAAGTAAAATGTAATAATTAACGCTAGAAATCATGTTATAATTACTATAAAAATGCATAATTTTTTTAAATTAGCATCAATGCTGATGGCCGTCCACTGCAATGCATAAGCTTTTTATTGCAACATTTGAAAATGGAATTTATTTTAACAAATTCTCTTTTTACCGAATGATTAAAAATTTATTGTTTAAGTAAGTTGGTAGATGGCAGCACAAAGTATCTTTTTTAAAGGTTTTTTTTCGGTAGTTAGTTGATAATACCAATATTTTAAAAATAATATTTGGTAGAAGAAAAATAATTTTTTTTTATTTATGTTTTTTTTAGTTAACCAATTAGTCTAAATATTTTATTCCATTCAGGAAAGCGGTGCGAAAATTATACAAACCACATAATTTTGTAAGCTATACATTTTGAAATAAACAAATTAAATAAAATGTTCAATAACAAATATAACTAAAAACTTGAATGTCTCATAAAAATTTGTTTTTCTTATGAAATAGATGCGTTAAAATTAACTGGAATACAATATTTATAGTAGGTTATTAAAATTAATAAATAATTTAACCTTGTACTTTTTTGTGTTACTCAAATTTTTTTAAAATAAATTATTAAATGAAAGGGAGGCAATAAACTTGATCACTGTTTTCAAAAGTTATTGTTTTTAATAATCTTTCCCTAAGAATAAGTAGACAAGAAACGTATACAATTTCATAAAATGTTACTGTTTCAAAATATAATGAAATAACTTATGATAGATATAATAGGTTACTTATAATAAATATAGAAGATATTATAGATAGATTACTTATAATATTTAGAAATGCATAATGAAATAACTTATAATAAATATAATAGGTTACTTATAATAAATAGAAATTCTTTAAATAGATTATTAAAATTAAGTGATTATAAATAAATTACTTAAATTTAATTTTTGATACTAAATTTTTTTGCATTACTAAATTTTTTTAAAAAATAAAATGTTATATCAAAGTGAGACAATAAACTTGACTCCAGTTTTCAAAAATTATTGTTTCATTTAACTTTCTCTAACAATAAGTAGTCAAGAAAGATTGTTTATAGTTTCCAAAATGTAACTGTAATGTATTATGAAATAATGTTAACGTCACTATATATTAAAAAAAAATTTATGTTTATTTTCAATCATTTTTAATATGTCAGCATACATTTCACAAAAAATGTCTTTTCATTATTTATACTTATATTATTTATATTTAGATTATTTATAACCGTAATCTGCAAACAAAAATCGAATGCAAACATATGTTTCGTTTACTTTAGTATCATTAATAGATTATCAATTGTATTATAATAAAAGTTTTTTTAAAGTTTAGATATTACAATTGTTAAAATCGTAAAATTTTAATTTCGTCTACCTACGTTATTCAAAAAGAACTAATATAAACTTTTTGTCGCGTTTTTCTTTCAATGTCAAATATAATATTAACATTATTTATCACTTTTAACATTAGAAACAGAAAAATGATCTGCATGAAAAATGCATATTAACTAATATTTGAATAATTCATAACTTTTGACTTTTCTTATAATTTAATTTAAGAAATAAGGTTACTTTTCTCTTAACTTGTCAAAAGAATTCGCATTGATTGCAATCTTAAACTAAAATCATTATTTTCGTTTCTCTTTATTTAATTAATGTCTAGTCAATCATGTTTTACGATGTTTTTTAAAATTCTTATTCGACATTGCTTAATAATTAAAAGAAGAAATCAATGAAGAATAAATCGATTGATTCGGTTTTTGTAGGTTTTAAATCTCAGAATGAAAAATATAAAGCACACTTTAAATGAGCATTTTAGATAAACTATTTTTTAAATAAGAATCTTTGATTCAAAGAAATTGATATTACAACCTGTGTTACCATTAAATAAAATGCTGAGTAGAATTGTTTTTAATTAAAATAAGGCGTTTTTTTATTTTTTAAATTTGCTCGAAATGGCATACAGATGACGAAATACGGATGAATTCTAAAGTTTCTTGATTGATTGTTGGAGTAAATGTATGTCTCGCCAATCTTATTTATTCAAGAAAATATGGCATCAAATTTAATTAAATGATCTAACAAATTTGCAATCTTCATGATTCAGAAAACTATACCAAATTTAATTTATTGATCTGATGTATTTATAATTTTCATGATCCAGGCAAATAGGGCACCAAATTCAATAAATTTATTAAGCAAATTTGAAATACTCATGATTCAGGAAAATATGACAACAAATTTTGTTAATTCACCTTATGAATTTGCAATCTTAATGATTTAGAAAAGTTTAGCATCAAATTTAATACGTTTACTAACGAATTTGAAATATTCATATTTCAGGAAACTATGATACTAAATTTAATTTATTGTGATGATAAATTTGTAGTTTTCATGTTTCAGGAAAATGTGGCACCAAATATAGGTAATTGAACTAATGAATGCAATCTTCAAGCACTGTAAAAAAAATACCGAAATCGGGCAGCTACGGTGCATGTAGTTTTCAAAAAGTTTCTTAAAATTTGTGGTATAAAAAAATCAGTTAGCCCTCCACGGAGGCAAATATCTTCCAATACTTGATCCAGAAGTTCCCTTGTCTTCTGGATTGGGTGTAAAATTACAAGGCTACGGAATTGAATATTAGTAGCTGTAAACTCAAAATTTGGATTGGTTGTTCTACGTCGGTTATGAAATAAAAAAATAATGATAGTATATAAATAAAATAAATATATTTGTTACCAACAACTAATGTCTTTTTAGACATTACAAAACAATTAAAAAAATATAAATTGCAAAAATTATATTTTTTAATACAAACAAAACAATTAAAAAAATATACTTACAATACGTACAAAGCAATTAAAAAATATAAATTAATTAAATGATAAATGTATAATATAAATTTATAATATAATAAAAATATATAAATTTTGTTTGTTTGTAAATATGCATTCCTTTTTTCACAACTGGATTTCTTTCAAACATTCAATTCATATCTGCTGTAATCAGAATTCAGTCACATACGTGTTCTATAATTGGATACAATTCATAGGTGAAAAACATAGCCTTCATTTTCTAAAAATGAATACGAATGAAGGAAAAGATACAATATTGTTGCAATTGATATAAAATTAAAAAATGTAAAATGTTGTAAACGTACGTTTTTAGTTTTTCAAAAATACTAAAAACGTACAATCACATAACTAAAATCTCAAAGACATTCTGCAACTCATATGATCATTCTACAAAACTGCCGAAGCAACACACAAAATATTTACGAACAACATTTAAACATTTAAAAATAATTCAATACAGGTACGAAGAACGCTTATGTGGAGAAAAAAAAATTGTTCAAGTGTGGTACACAAAAAATGAAGATGTGAAAACATGTTCAAGCAATTTTCGTTGTTTTCTCTCTTCAAAGAGTTAACATAGATGCGAAGAAATGTGAGAAGCGTTTGAGCGACTTGCTTTTTAAGAAAGAATAACAGCTTTTTTTTTCATTAAAAATTGACATTGTTGGCAAGTATTGTTTGCGCAAATGGTGCACGGAAGTTATTCATCCGAAGAAAAATTTGAAGTTAAAATTTGAGAATTTTGAAGAAATTTGAAGTTGAGAAATTTGAAGTTGATGGGAATTCTTTCTTGTGTCCTCTGTGTGTCGGTACTTGGGTTCAAACCTTTTCGAATTCTCTGGAAATAAAAACAAAGTGTTAGTCTCGAACAAACAAGAAAAAAATATACATGGTGTACCGCAATGACTAACTTTGAGGTATAATTTTAGAAATCTTGTCATAATTGAAGCAGAAAAAAAACATTAGGAGTTGCAAATTAATATATAAACCTTTCGCCCCCCACCGGAACATATATGTCCTGCGGAGGAAAACAACACTTGGACATATGTGTCCCGTCCATAAAAGCTGGTGAGGCAGTTATGGCCCAGCCTCCCTCTAATTGTTATTTATTTTATTTTATTTGTGAGGAATATTGTTATTTTTTTATTTTATTTGATCTATTAAATTCGTAATGTATCTTTTTATTGAAAAGAAAATAATGGTCTTGAAAGGCTTTTAAGCGAAGAAAAACAAAATGATGTCGAATATCAATAAATTACTTCAAAGGAAGGCGATAATAATATATATACTAAAGTTTATAAGGTTTAAAGTTAGATTAAGGATGTAAGATATACTAAAACTTCTTAATATTTTCCCGCCTACGATATGTGCGGTTATTTGTTGATAACTTCGGAAAATACAAAGAAAAGAAGAAAAATACCGATGAAAGGCTTTGTTTACATAAGTGTTATCAACAGTAAAGGTTTGCCTGTGGTCAAGAAGATTAGCTAACATGGGAAATTTATTTTCCCTTCTGCGTTCTTTCTTAAGATAATTACTCTTCGAGTTTATTTGGTAATTATAAAGATAGAATTTACAAATTCGGTTATTTATAAGCATTGAAGTTTTAAAACCCATTCTTTTCAGTAAGTAAAATTTTGAAACAAAAATGTTTGAAATTAATATTAGAAATAAACTTCATGATTTTGTTTTATAAGTAAATCTCAAACCCCAATTTTTTTTTTTACATAAAATGAATTAGAAAAAAATTGCTCCCTCTATAAAGGGTTAAAATGCAATTATTAAAGAAACCAAGTTTCACCGGTCAATCTAATTCGCTATTTCTAATGTTTGTACTTATACTCAGCCTGAAAAATTATTGATCTAACTTAATAATTATTATTAGCCCATTATAATAAACGATGAAGAACACTTACCTCCAAACATGTTCCAGGAGTTGAAAGGAAAAAGTAGATAATGTATCCTGGGATACATAACAATGAAGAAGCAGTTAAACACCAGCCAACACCAATAGACCATTTAGGATACTCGTAATCTCTTATTGTCAGATCTTTATATTTGACCATTGCGCAAATATAAATACTCTAAAAACAATAATAGAACGAGTTATAATTTAGAAAATGCAATAGATTTCATTTACATTACCCGCTGACCAACATGGATTTAGTCTTTAGTTCTATCTGTGCTATACATACTATCCTATAATAACGGACACAACGCCGAGACAAATTTCGTGTTAAGGTTTTGGGCCTTTGCATTTGTGCGTAGCCAACTGGTGAGCTACAGTGAGCAAAATAAAACACAGACTACCCAGAATAACTTTTGATCTAATGATCATATCTTCACGTTCTTGGACTCAATCTTAATGATTCGAGGGTGTGTTCTCAAATATTTAAACAATATTTTAAGCAACGAAATTAGACACAAAAACATACCTTCTGTGAATAAACGCACCTTTTTTTCGGCGGATTCGGATGTCTGACCTACAAACTATAGTCGCAATCTGGATTATATGTTAATATAATCCAGACCAATAGTTAGGTCAGGAGAGCGATCCAAAGTTGTATCCTGTATTTCACCAAATCTCGAGAACTTTTTAGGCGAATTAAAAAATTTTTGCGCAATAAATTATAAAATTCGTTTATCCCTGTAAAAATAAGTTTTAGTAAACATTAATCATTTTATCCAATAATAGTCGAAAAAGTTTTGAATTGTAAGGTATACAATTCCATAAGTCATTTTAAAGAATTTAATTTTATATGGTGAAGTACAAAATTTAAACGAATTTGATTGAATAGTTCTGGTATTTAAAAAATACGACTTCTTTAAATTTCGATTTCTCAGGAATTATTCACCCGAATTCGCTCAAATTTTGCATTTCGATTTGTAAAATTACAATCTTAAAATGATTTTTAAAAGTTATATACCTTACAACTCAAAACATTTTCTACCATTATTAAATAAAACAATATAAAGTAAGAAATATTTACTTAAACTTATTTTTCACATGGAATTATCTAAACGAATTTTATAACAGCGGACATAAACTTTTCAATTCATTTAGAAAGCTCTCGACATAAGGCTAAATATGCGAAAAGTAAAATTAACATTAAGGCATTTAAAGTTTGAATGGTTCTCCTAACCGAACTATTGGGAACATATTTCCTAGAGTGTGACTACCCCCTATAATTCGGGAGTCAGAAATCTTAATCCGTTGAAAAAAAGTTATGTTTATTCGGAGAAGGTACGTTTTTGTGTCTGATTTCGCAATTTAAAATATCTGTACTAATTAATTAGCATATAAGTATTTTCCTTGAATCATTAAACTTGAATCCTAGAACGTTAAGATACGATGATTAGATCAAAAGTTATTCAGGGTGGTCAATTTTTTGTGCACTATATGTTTTCATTCGCCTTTATGTTTTCAGTAGCCTATCTTGTGGTCAGCAATATAAAGTTATAAAGAAGTGTGAATTACGCCGAGATCACCAACTTCTACGAAGTTTAAGAAGAGAGCCATAAAACTGCCAAACAGGTAGAACGGTGTTTTGTATATCTCAGCTAAAGTGATTACAGTTCCTGGAATGATAAAATTGCTTTACAAAGTACAGCTGTATGCTCATGAAAATCTTTTCAGAGATAACTTAAAATTATTTGTTAAATAAAATCCAAAGTAATCAAAGCATCGGTGAACTACATTTCTTTTAATTAAGATGTAGGAGCAACCAAAAAATCAAGTTTCGGTCTTTATTTAACTGAAAACGAGATATTTTCCAAAGTGTTGATGTATTATTGTCAAATTCGATTAATTTGTAGAAAAAGTGATACTTAATGATTGATGTTCATTAATAGTATCTTCAATGAATCTCACAATGTTTTAAAGATAGATTTCAGAGACGCTTAGCTACATTTTATGAAATTAGTTCTAAATCTATTTTGAAATCTAATTTATGGCATTTGAATGTTTTAATACATACCAAAATGAAAATTGGACTAATGTATTTCCAGCAAACTCTCCAAAATATTCCTGGTTTGAATCCCAGCATTTCCTTAACTTGATCAGAAAACCTCTCGGCTCCTAAAAATATGAATTCAATTTAATATTTATGTTGATATTATGTGTTATTATTATTTTCCAATTAGTTACATTTATTTAAAGAAAAAAAAATTGGGGTGTTTTTTGTTTGAAGAACAGTTTTTAATAAAGACTATAATAAGTAAAAAAAAAAATTCTTAATTTATCATTTAAATGAGAAATTCTTAAACTCTGAAGAATATATAATTCTTTGCGTCAATAATTAAATTAACTATTGACGAATTTTAATTAATTCATAATAAAAATAAGAGAACAGGTAAACATTTTCCTTCATTATTAACTTTAGAAATTTTTTTAAATCATTAAAAAAATCACTAAAAATGTGAAATCACTAGAAAAAATGAATTTACTTAATATAATTAAAAAAAACAGTTTTATTACCATAAAGCCAACAAACAGCTGCTGCTTCCACAAATACAATGAACAAAACTGACATTGATGTCCCGTACGAATCAAGAAGATTGACGACGTAATAGCCACCCTAAAAAATTAAATCAAATGTACATATTTCAAATCAAATCAAATCAAATGTACATTAGTATCTTTAATCTTAAAATCATTGTCCATTTTAAATAAGAAAAGTGTTATCCAATAATAAAAGAACATTTTGAAAATACGATAGAATCTCGATAATCCTAACACCTTTTTTAATTTAAATGCCCCTGTTGACCCTGGCCAAATTACTAGACGCACTATAAGATTTTGTGTAAAATCTTAATTATTAGGTGATACTATACAGCTTTATTGTTTTTACGAGACTGAAACCGGTTTGCACTTGTTTAAGTTCGTGTATCAATTGGTTAAATTAGACGATATGTAATATGAATTTGACGATTGGATAAATTAGACGATATGTTATATAAATATGGAATATTTATTATATCAGGTATTATAATGGTATGTAATAATAATTAGACCAAATTATTAAACGTACTGTAGTGTATTAGCAATAACATGATTTGTACGAGTTTATATGCCATATTTTAATATTTAAACACATACCATGTGATAAGTTTTCAGAAGATTTGTTATATACTTCCTATTTGTATTGATTTTTTAACGTATTGCATTACAATTGATGCACGAACGTAAACAAATGCAAACCGGTTTCAGCAGAGTAAAAACAATAAAGCTGTATAGTATCACCTAATATAAGATTTTACACAAAATCTTATAGTGCGTCTAATAATTTGGCTGCAAGTGGATTAATATTTTTTAACACTAGCTCAGATATTCTTCTCTTTTTAATTTTAATAATACGTTGTTCTAGAAGTCCGCAATGGCTCAGGGTATAGAGCGTTCGCCTTCCAATGCGGCGAACTGGGTTCGAATCCCAGTCGATACGAGTTCTGCATAAGGCTTGCACCGTGCACAGTGCTGACGTGAAATATCCTCAGTGGTAGACGGATCATGGGTTAGAGTTTCCTTGGTGCCAGGAAATATATATATATAAATCATATGGTGTGGCTATAATATAGACAAGAAGTATTAACTACATAATTCAATAACTCAATATTTTTTATCGATTTCGGGTTGACGTAATGGAATGTATCGATATGCATTTCTTATGGTTGAATTATCTATATATGACTTCGAAACTCTGCAATTAAGTAACCCTACAACTAACCATATTACTGATTGGTACCGACTGGTATATGTTAGAGCTAGATAATTCTTAAAATAAGACAAAAAATTAATTTAAAAATTTCTTTCTTCAAAGCAAATGTTTTGAAGTTATCTAGTTATAATACAATATCAACAATATTTGGATATATATCAAGAATTAAACAAATTCATTAAGAATGTGTTGAAAAACTTGCATACAAAGGGTTTTAATGACTGCACTTACGTAGGTGCATGTAGGCAATGCACAGAAATAAATAAAAATTACAACAGCGCCAACAAATAGTTCTCTGTTGCGACGTAGATGAGTAGGAAACTGATCGCACAAACCAGTTATCATGGCTTCCAAACCTCCAAACTAAAAGAAAAACTTTAAAAATGATTATCAATTCATAAATATAAATTTATGATTTTTCAAAAGAATTTTTATCTTAACCCAGTAATACATACGTTTTATTGTAATTTATTTCCCCCCGATTGTTTAGAAGTTTTTTTCACAAATTGACAAATGTTATTTTGACAATTGTTTTTCACAAATTGAAGCGCAGTTTTTGCCAAAGAATTTAAAATTCTATATTCTACACTACCCAGTAATAAATGTTTGGACACCCGCGCATAGCATCGGAGGTTCAATTATGGTCTGCGACTGTTTTTCCCTGCTATAAACTGAGACCCTTGATTCATGATAAATTAAATCTACTGCACTCGTTTGGATGACTTCAATGGCGCCATCTATGGCCAAGGATACTACTTCAGCCACACATACTACACAGCCCGTTTATAGGTCGGATCCAATCATACATCCCTTCATTCAATCACAGATCGTAATTTTGACCTGAACCAGAGATTGATCAATCTCAAATTCAGTACCCCCAGTGTCATTGAGTTGTTATGGGAACATAGAGGACCTTGTGACCAGACAGATTTAACGTGCACCAGTCACCAATTACTACCCGGAGGTTTCTGGCTGTAGAAATCGAGTCACGACCCCTTGGAAATTACTATAACTGCTTACCAACCAGGAGTTTTTTCATAGACTGGTTTGGAGGTATTGGCGTTAACAAACTAAAATGCCTCAACCAGATCAGAACCCGATCAGAAACCTCTGAAAGGAGTCTGATTGCAGAATTAAAAAAGAGCAATATCAGTCGAAAATTCAATGAGAAAATTCACATGTCTTCTTCAAGAAAGGCATGAGAAAACAAAATTTATTCATTTTCGTTTGTTGGAAGAGCCTTCAACACATATGTTTACAGCCCCAGACCATAATGTCACGACTGATTATATGCTTTTGTAAGGCTATTTAAAATATTAGTTTGAGAAACAAGTAAATGTTTTTAAGTATATTTGTTCTTTTTAAAAGCGTTTGTAACGCGTCACATCATAAACTCGCCAAAATTTGCTGTAACCATAACATGGTGCAAACTTTAACCATATTTTAAAGCAAAATAATTCTTCTGGAACTTGGTTACTGTTTATACTGTTGCAAAACATCTCATTACTATTATATTGCACCACCAAAATTTTGGTCAATTTGATATCTTATTAATATTGAAGCAACTTAGCACGAGCTTATTGTTCAAAGTACCAATATTATGGTTAATTTGGACAAATATATCATTCAATTTACTACTTAATTATGGTTGCAACATCTTTACAAGCTCTTTTAATTCAAGTCACTGATAGATTTTTATCTAAATACAGAAACAAAATAAAAATGAATGCTTAAATAACCCTAACTTTGTTTTTTATTGTAAAAGTTTCTTAATAATGCGATCGTTGTAAGGGAATAAAAATTTTAGATTTGTAATTTTACAGTTAACTATTTTTAAGGGCAGTCATTACTTTTTTCTTGAACTAGTGAAGCAGTAAAGTCAATTCCTTACTGCAAAAATCAGTTGATTGCCTTGGAAAAATGAGAACAAGTAAAAACCCAGTACCGACCCGGCTTTCAACTTTTTACAAAGTAAACAGGAAAAAAAATGTTAAAATGAAACTTCTCTCTTCTTAAACTCGTTTCTTTGGTTTGATCAGAGCGAATTTTTTTATATAATAATTAAAACAAACAAGGTGTCTTTCATTCTACATTATGTATTAGTAGAGACATTTAATTAGTAATAAAAATTATTTGGGCAAAATGAATTTGGCTTATGTTGCACTACAATTTATTAAAATTAGTTAATATTGATCAGTTAAATTGTTACAAAAAATACGGTGGATGAAGACGTTAGATTCAATTCAAGATTTTTTTTAAATTATTCCGAATTCTTCTAAATGCAAAATATTTTCCATCCAAAAATCCTCTATTCTCATCAAATATTTCTTCTGCCCAAAAAAAATGATAGATATTTAAAATATTTATTTAAGAGCATTTTATAAAAATTATTTCGATCAAAAAATTATTATCTTTCCCTCTAAATTTATATACTAAAAATAATTAAATTACAGAATAAGGACAATTTCGCAAATTTATGAAACACGATGTAAATTATAAATGTTTTAAACGAAAAAGAGATTATGTTATTATAATATGGTACTATAATAATAATAATTAAAAAAAAACAAATTTAAAGTTAAGAAAAATGCGTAACTAAGTAAATTATAATGAAATGCATAATGATAAGTTAGCGGAATGCTTAACTATAGATATGATAAATTTTCTGAAAGACAAAAATTAAAAAATACATACTGAAATTTTTAAAAAAATCAAATTACTTTAAAAAGTACTGGCACCCAGAGTGTCGATACCTTTTACTATAAAACCAATTTCTGCCCTAAAATTTCAAGGCACAAAAATATGATATACCATAAATTTCCTATATAATAATATTTACTATAAAATCATTGAATCACCGTAATAAAATAAATATTGCTGTAAAAATTATGGTATGAAATGTTTCGATAAAAATGAATTTTATGTTAATAAATTTCGCGGATGCTGCATGCAGGGTGCTAGTACTTTTTACCATAAAAGAATAAAAGAAGAATTCTACTTATGGTTACACACAAATTCAGTATATCTGTGCGAGGTCTATCATCGATAGCATGCAAAAGGAAAATTTAAATTTGAAACCTAGAAAACGATTCCAAAAATCCGATTTTTTTTTCTCAAATAATTTGCTCAAGAAACTTCGTTCTTTTCCCTCATGACATTAAAAATACTATCAATTTGTCGATCATTAAGATTTATTTGTCCATTTTATATAAGAATATCTTTCCATCATTGATATGACTTGAAATTCTTTTTTCATTAGGAAAACATTTTTTTATTAAATAACACTGGGGAGCAAATTTTTTGTTGCATTTATACAAATACTTAATCTTGCCTAATTTCGATATAGGGACTTCAAATCTGAAATTAGTCTTGCTCCTAAAACTTCTTAGTTTTTTTCTAAATGACATTTTTAATCTACATTTTTTGTTAAAGTGTACAAGTTTAAAGACGTAATATATAATGAATGTTGCTAGGGGAATTAAAGCGCATCATCAGGATTAAAATTATATCGGAATTCATGCTCTGACATGTCGTTGCACTCGGCTAGGGGTGCATCCCCATTATGAACTGTCCAGAAACACTCGGAGAAACAATTCATAATAGGAAAGCGCCCCTAGCCACATACAACGACATTTCCGGGAATGGGGTGTGTCCTAACTCGCCCAGAAGTTTGTCGCAGCATTTTTGCGAACAACGTGTTTATACGTCAACGTGTTATATACAACGTGTTTGAATTTGTACTTTTCGACAAAATAAACTAAAAATGTTCCTTTTAAAAAAAAAATTAGTTTGGAGAGAAAAACCGTTCTCTGATTTGAAGTCAGTGACGTGAAAATATTCTAGACCCGTTTTAAAAATCTCATGCAGTAGAAAAAAAGAAAGAAAAATATAAAAAAATTGCTTTCCAGTGTAATTTAAACAGCAAGGAATTATGTTTTTTCTCACCCAATTGAATTGAAATTATTTTTTAAACAAAATAAAATCTTTTTAAAAACCATCTTGAATCAAAAATTATTTTACAGAAATAAATTCATGTTTCGCAAAGCTTTGAAACTAAGTTAAGCATATTGCTTATAAAATTAACTGAAAATATGTTAAAAAAATCAATAGATTTCCTACTGTTCTTCATCATTGAAGTTTATCACTGGACACAAATCCACTAATCCAATTATGCTATATATATAAAAATATTTTGCAAAGAGAAAATACATAATTACATTTTCAACTTTACCTTATGACAGAGAAATAAACATAAAGTAATTACAGCTCAAAGTTGCATTCGTTGATCATAATCAAATATCCTCCCCGCTTTTCTTTTTCCAACATGTTTATATTTGGAGAATTTCAAATTCTTTTGGAAAAGTGGAAGATTAAGTCGAATCCGTTCCAAAAGTATAAATAAAAATTTCTTTTATAAACTAAACTATAAAGTTTAAAACATACAATTCAGTACTTAAAACTTTCATAATAAACTTTCAAATAATCTGGTGCAGAAATTTTCTAATTAATATTTTTAATCATTTTTAAAGCACAAAATTAACATCTATGCATATACTCTTTTTATATCATGCATACATTAATGATTAGGCAAGGTTTCATTGAATATTATTATCATTATGAATTTTTTGCCTTTAAAACTCAAGAAATTTTATAAAGTAAATATTGTAATTAAATTTTATTAAAATAAATTAAATTATTTATCCCAAACCAGATGCGTTTCAATTGTTCTTAAATGTGTTCTACATAATTGAAGTTGCGTTTCAATTGCATCCATTATTTTTTACGCATTATGCAGCTAATTTAATAATCAGAATTATACAATTAGTCTATTATAAATATGCATTCTTTGAATTATGAAGATTTTATTTTAATATGTTAGAATATAATTAACTGCAGATAATGTTATATTTCTTACAAGGTACGTTTTATAAGCTTTGTTCCAACTTAAAAATAATTAAATCGAGAATTTTTGAAATTTCGTGATAGTATTGTAGTAGAAAAAAGAAATAGGAAATGTAATTTTTCATACATAAAAAAGTTTTTATTTTCAAAAAAAGAAAATAAAAAAAAATTGAACTATAATATAATGAAGTTGTACTACCAGAACAAAATATATGTTTATGTATATTCAGAATAAAACTTTATTTTAAAGTATGCAATATGAACAGCATATAATAATTAAAGAAATTTATTTTGAATGTGAACTTCGATGATTTTAAAATAAGTTGCTTACAAAATGAGCAATTCACCGACAATACCATGCATACCATACAGCAATGAAAAAAAAAATTGCCTCTCAGAGAAAAAAAAGTACGATCAAAATTACCAGAACATGGTAAATTTTATCTTGTTTTTGCATTTATGGGAACACCAAACGGCTCGTTAATTTTTACCGAAGCGTTTCAGTAATAATTTTGGTAAAATTATCAATAAAATATGGTTTTATAATGTGTGATAAAATTTAGAAAATGTAGTAAAATTTGATAATAATCTTCAGTGATTAGG